GGTCCTTCAAAGCGGCAGCACAGCCTGGGACCAGGGAGGGAGTCCCCAGCTGACTGCGGGCTCCACGTGGCGCTTTCGCCTTTGGAGTGTAGCAACAGCCAAGCACGTCCAGCTTGCGGGGGTGGGGTGCTTCCTAGCTAGGCCTATTGCCGAGGAAGCAGGCACTCAGCCTCCTGCAGCCAGCAACAGGTGGATTTTGCCAAACTAAGAGAAGGGAGAGGGGCGGGGGTGTCTTCCAGTGGTGGGCCACTGGCATGGGGGGGAAGATCTGCTCTCTTGACGGACGGGGCCTCCGTGACCTGGCACAGGAATCAGAACAGGAGGGCAGCTGCTCTGTCCCTTTCTTCGCCTTTTCCCCTCCCTCCCTTGCTCCGCTCCTCTCCTCTCCTTCCCCCCCGCCCCGCCTCCTTTCGCCTTTTCCTCTCCCTCCCTTGCTCCGCTCCTCTCCTCTCCTTCCCCCCCGCCCCGCCTCCTTTCGCCTTTTCCTCTCCCTCCCTTGCTCCGCTCCTCTCCTCTCCTTCCCCCCCGCCCCGCCTCCTTTCGCCTTTTCCTCTCCCTCCCTTGCTCCGCTCCTCTCCTCTCCTTCCCCCCCGCCCCGCCTCCTTTCGCCTTTTCCTCTCCCTCCCTTGCTCCGCTCCTCTCCTCTCCTTCCCCCCCGCCCCGCCTCCTTTCGCCTTTTCCTCTCCCTCCCTTGCTCCGCTCCTCTCCTCTCCTTCCCCCCCGCCCCGCCTCCTTTCGCCTTTTCCTCTCCCTCCCTTGCTCCGCTCCTCTCCTCTCCTTCCCCCCCGCCCCGCCTCCTTTCGCCTTTTCCTCTCCCTCCCTTGCTCCGCTCCTCTCCTCTCCTTCCCCCCCGCCCCGCCTCCTTTCGCCTTTTCCTCTCCCTCCCTTGCTCCGCTCCTCTCCTCTCCTTCCCCCCCGCCCCGCCTCCTTTCGCCTTTTCCTCTCCCTCCCTTGCTCCGCTCCTCTCCTCTCCTTCCCCCCCGCCCCGCCTCCTTTCGCCTTTTCCTCTCCCTCCCTTGCTCCGCTCCTCTCCTCTCCTTCCCCCCCGCCCCGCCTCCTTTCGCCTTTTCCTCTCCCTCCCTTGCTCCGCTCCTCTCCTTTCCTTCCCCCCGCCTCCTTTTGCCTTTTCCCCTCCCTCCCTTGCTCCGCTCCTCTCCTTTCCTTCCCCCCCGCTCCGCCTCCTTTCGCCTTTTCCCCTCCCTCCCTTGCTCGGCTCCTCTCTTTTCCTTCCCCCCTCACCCCGCTTCCTTTCGCCTTTTCCCCTCCCTCCCTTGCTCGGCTCCTCTCTTTTCCTTCCCCCCTCACCCCGCTTCCTTTCGCCTTTTCCCCTCCCTCCCTTGCTCGGCTCCTCTCTTTTCCTTCCCCCCTCACCCCGCTTCCTTTCGCCTTTTCCCCTCCCTCCCTTGCTCGGCTCCTCTCTTTTCCTTCCCCCCTCACCCCGCTTCCTTTCGCCTTTTCCCCTCCCTCCCTTGCTCGGCTCCTCTCTTTTCCTTCCCCCCTCACCCCGCTTCCTTTCGCCTTTTCCCCTCCCTCCCTTGCTCGGCTCCTCTCTTTTCCTTCCCCCCTCACCCCGCTTCCTTTCGCCTTTTCCCCTCCCTCCCTTGCTCGGCTCCTCTCTTTTCCTTCCCCCCTCACCCCGCTTCCTTTCGCCTTTTCCCCTCCCTCCCTTGCTCGGCTCCTCTCTTTTCCTTCCCCCCTCACCCCGCTTCCTTTCGCCTTTTCCCCTCCCTCCCTTGCTCGGCTCCTCTCTTTTCCTTCCCCCCTCACCCCGCTTCCTTTCGCCTTTTCCCCTCCCTCCCTTGCTCCGCCCCTCTCCTTTCCTTCCCCCCCGCCTCCTTTCGCCTTTTCCCCTCCCTCCCTTGCTCCGCTCCTCTCCTTTCCTTCCCCCCCCCGCTCCGCCTCCTTTCGCCTTTTCCCCTCCCTCCCTTGCTCCGCTCCTCTCCTTTCCTTCCCCCCCCCGCTCCGCCTCCTTTCGCCTTTTCCCCTCCCTCCCTTGCTCCGCTCCTCTCCTTTCCTTCCCCCCCCCGCTCCGCCTCCTTTCGCCTTTTCCCCTCCCTCCCTTGCTCCGCTCCTCTCCTTTCCTTCCCCCCCCCGCTCCGCCTCCTTTCGCCTTTTCCCCTCCCTCCCTTGCTCCGCTCCTCTCCTTTCCTTCCCCCCCCCGCTCCGCCTCCTTTCGCCTTTTCCCCTCCCTCCCTTGCTCCGCTCCTCTCCTTTCCTTCCCCCCCCCGCTCCGCCTCCTTTCGCCTTTTCCCCTCCCTCCCTTGCTCCGCTCCTCTCCTTTCCTTCCCCCCCCCGCTCCGCCTCCTTTCGCCTTTTCCCCTCCCTCCCTTGCTCCGCTCCTCTCCTTTCCTTCCCCCCCCCGCTCCGCCTCCTTTCGCCTTTTCCCCTCCCTCCCTTGCTCCGCTCCTCTCCTTTCCTTCCCCCCCCCGCTCCGCCTCCTTTCGCCTTTTCCCCTCCCTCCCTTGCTCCGCTCCTCTCCTTTCCTTCCCCCCCCCGCTCCGCCTCCTTTCGCCTTTTCCCCTCCCTCCCTTGCTCCGCTCCTCTCCTTTCCTTCCCCCCCCCGCTCCGCCTCCTTTCGCCTTTTCCCCTCCCTCCCTTGCTCCGCTCCTCTCCTTTCCTTCCCCCCCCCGCTCCGCCTCCTTTCGCCTTTTCCCCTCCCTCCCTTGCTCCGCTCCTCTCCTTTCCTTCCCCCCCCCGCTCCGCCTCCTTTCGCCTTTTCCCCTCCCTCCCTTGCTCCGCTCCTCTCCTTTCCTTCCCCCCCCCGCTCCGCCTCCTTTCGCCTTTTCCCCTCCCTCCCTTGCTCCGCTCCTCTCCTTTCCTTCCCCCCCCCGCTCCGCCTCCTTTCGCCTTTTCCCCTCCCTCCCTTGCTCCGCTCCTCTCCTTTCCTTCCCCCCCCCGCTCCGCCTCCTTTCGCCTTTTCCCCTCCCTCCCTTGCTCCGCTCCTCTCCTTTCCTTCCCCCCCCCGCTCCGCCTCCTTTCGCCTTTTCCCCTCCCTCCCTTGCTCCGCTCCTCTCCTCTCCTTCCCCCGCCCCTCCTCCTTTCGCCTTTTCCCCTCCCTCCCTTCCTCTGTTCCTCTCCTTTCCTTTCCCCCCGCCCCCGCCTCCTTTAGCCTTTTCCCCTCCCTCCCTTCCTCGGTTCCTCTCCTTTCCTTTCCCACCCACCCCTCCTCCTTTCACCTTTTCCCAGCACTTGGTCCTGCAGCCGGAGTCTCTGCTGCTAAACTTCAGTCTCATTGGCGCAAGTGCAGTTTCAGGCCAGCCCTTCTGCAAGCGCTTCTGCCCCCAGCGGCAGCACTGCCTCCGTGGCTGGCAGGACCCTGCTTGCAGTGGGCGGGGGGTGGGGAGCTGCCGGGTCTCTGGGGCCAGGCATTGGTCCGCCTGGGAGTCCCAAGAAGGTAGGGAGGCCGGCAAGGTGGACTCGTTACTCCCAGTGCCGTTTCTGGCAGTTGTGTGTGAGTTCCTGCGTGTGAACGCCCGCTCCGGGAGGTGGGCAGGCTGGGATCCCCCTGGCTGGGGCACCTGAGGCACAGGGAGGCCTCGTGACCTTGCGCAGGGTCCCAGAGAGAGTCTGGCTGAGCAGGGAGCTGACCCCAGCGTAGCTCCCTGGCCTTGCACTTCGGGAGCACGTGGTAGGTGAAAGGTGGGATTTAGTACTTCCCAGAGCTGGGCAGGTGAGGCTGCAGGGGCCCAGCCGGGGAGTGGGGTGACTAGCAGCTCGGCTCAGCCACAGCCATGAGCGCCCTGAGACTGCACGGTGCTGAGTGATTTTGTTGTTGCTTCCCCTGTAGCTTTAACTTCTCCAAAGCCCAACCTGATGGGTCTGCCCAGCACAAGCGTCCCCTCGCCTGGCCTCCCCACCTCCGGATTACCAAATAAGCAGTCCTCCGCCTCGCTCAGCTCCCCGAGCCCAGCACAAGCCACGGTGGCCCTGGCCCCCCACCAGCCGCGCAAGGAGAAGGACGGTGAGAAGATGAAAGAGAAGGAGAAGGCGCCCAAAGGGAAGGGGGATTCCCTGCCGGGGCCCAAGAAGGAGAAGGGAGAGGCCCCCACGGCGACGCTCTCAGCCCCCCTGCCCACCATGGAGTACGCGGTGGAGCCGGCCCAGCTCCAGGCGCTGCAGGCTGCCTTGAATTCAGACCCAGCAGCCTTGCTCACAAGCCAGTTCCTCCCCTACTTTGTCCCCGGCTTCTCCCCCTACTACGCCCCTCAGATCCCCGGGGCCTTGCAGAGCGGGTACCTGCAGCCCATGTACGGCATGGAAGGCCTGTTCCCCTACAGCCCGGCCCTGTCCCAGGCTCTGCTAGGCCTGGCCCCTAGCTCCTTGCTGCAGCAGTACCAGCAATATCAGCAGAGTCTGCAGGAGGCGCTGCAGCAGCAGCAGCAGCAGAAGGTGCAGCAGCAACAGCCCAAAGGAAGCCAAACTCCAGTCCCCCCGGGGGCTGCTACCCCAGACAAAGACCCTGCCAAAGAACCCCCCCAGCAAGAAGAGCAGAAAAATGCCCCCCGTGAGGTGTCCCCCCTCCTGCCCAAACCCCAAGAAGAGCCCGAAGCAGAAAGCAAAGGTGCAGACTCCCTGGGGCAGGGCGCAGTACAAGCGGGTCTGCCGCAAGTGCCAAGCCGGCTTCAGCGACCAGGAGGCGGCCAGCAACCACCTGAAGTCCCTCTGCTTCTTCGGCCAGTCTGTGGTGAACCTGCAAGAGATGGTGCTTCATGTGCCCACTGGCAGCAGCGGCAAGGGCAGCAGCTCGTACCAGTGCGTGGCGTGCGAGAGCACAGAGTGTGGGGACGAAGCCCTGAGTCAGCATCTCGAGTCAGCCCCTCACAAACACCGAACAATCACAAGAGCAGCAAGAAACGCCAAAGAGCACCCCAGTCTATTACCTCACTCTGCCTGCCTCCCCGACCCTAGCACCGCATCTACCTCGCAGTCTGCCGCTCACTCAAACGACAGCCCCCCCGCCTCGGCTTCCCCCCACGCCTCCACAAAGTCCTGGCCTCAAGGGGTCTCCCGGGCTCCTCTTGGGAAGCCGCCTCCTCCTCCTTTCCCTCCTCTCTCCTCATCGTCAACGGTTACCTCAAGTTCATGCAGCACCTCAGGGGTTCAGCCCTCGATGCCAACAGACGACTATTCGGAGGAGTCTGACACGGATCTTAGCCAAAAGTCAGATGGACCGGCTAGCCCGGGGGAGGGGCCTAAGGACCCCAGCTGCCCGAAGGACAGTGGTCTAACTAGTGTAGGAATGGACACCTTCAGATTGTAAGCTTTGAAGATGAACAATACAAAAATGAATTTAAATAAAAATGAATAACAAACCAATTTCAAAAACAGACTAACTGCAATTCCAAAGCTTCGAACCAAAAAAAAGAAAAAGAAAAAGAAAAAAGAAGACGTGTGGGTTGTTTTCCCATATAACGGTGCCGGTGGCTTTGACATTTTTTTCTTTTAATTAAAAAAAATTCTCTTACATTTGTCCTTTTGAAGGTCCTGTTGGTCTGGGAGACAAAAGCGCACCCGGCCTCCTTAGTGTCTTTGGAGCGCAACCAACCCTTGTATATTGCCCCTGCCCAATAACGCCCTCACTGATAGCACAGCGGAGCCCGGCATGCACTGTATGGGAAAGCAGCCCACCGGGCTACAGTTTTAAATTTCTTGCTATCTTAGCATTCAGATACCAATGGCTTGCTAAAAGAAAAAAGAAATGTAATGTCTTTTTATTCTCAGGTCAATCGCTCACACTTTGTTCTGTTTTCAGAATCAAAGTTTATATATATATATATATGTGTGTGTGTGTGTGTGTGTGTGTGCGCGTGTGTGTGTATATATATATATATATATATAATTTTTTGTTTGTTTTGGGGGTTTTTTGTTTTGTTTTTTGTTCCAGAAAAGAATTTTATTTTGTTGGATTTGGCAGAGCGGGGGAGGGGGGTTGTTTTGGGCTTTTGGGGAGGTGTTTTTTTGTTTTGTTTTTTTAATTTAAAATGGGCAGAAAGTATTCAAGAGAAAAACAATGTGAACTGCTTTAGCTTTCTGGGGATTTTAAGGGTAGCTTTTCTGCTGAAGCCAATTTCAAGGGGAAAAATTAAGCACTCCCACTTTTCAGAAAAAAACCACAAAGAGTGTTGAGGACTTGGAGCTTAAAAACAAGTTTTAAAACAACTGACTTTCTGTATTTATGATAGATATGACCATTTTTGGTGTTGAGTAGATTGTTGCATTGGAAATGAACTGAAGCAGTATGGTAGATTTAAAAGAAAAAAATCCCTTTTGTGTACATTTAGCTTTTGTATGGTCCAGCTGACGGCTTCTCATTTGATGTTGTCTTGTTCATTCCTAGCCAGATAGATTGCAATCCATTGACTCGCCTAAGCTTTTCTCCCCTTTGTACCTTTATTCCCCTTTCACCCATCCTGTGATCTGCCACTTATGGTCGCTGCCTTCATTTCTTCGAGGGTGGTTGCATAATTATTTTATAAAAACTAAAGAGAGACATTCAAAGGGTTTGGGGGGTCAGTTGGATCCCTTGCAGAATATTTTTTGTTGGGAGTTGGAAGCTTTTTAAGACGTATACATACGATTTACCTATGTCTGTTATCCTTGTGCACTTATTTCTCATTTTTTCATTTTCCTTTTGCTCTTCCTTTCTTCGTTTTGTAAATGCTTCAAAGATTCTGTTCCTAAACTATAAGCATTTGTTCCTCTGTGTGTAATTAGGCTGCACTCTGTTCCTTCTTTTAAAATAACTTTTTGTTAATTTTTTTTCTCCAAAAAAAAAAGTCATGCTTTAAATAAAATCCAAAGACATACCCTTTCACCAATGGTGCAGAATGAGCAAAAAGGTTTCTTTTTACTTGAGAATTTGTTTCTGATTTAAACAAACAAAACTAATTTTAAATAAAGAAAAGAATTAAAAAGTACCCAGCTTGTTATCTGTGCTTCTTCTGCAAGCAGAGAGGCAACTCTTAATGAAAATTCAACATACCAAACCACAAGTTTTTACTTCAAAGTTTTGTCCTCGTCTTAGGCAGTCTGAGTGGTGAGCGGGCCAGAGGTGCAGCCCGCAATGAATCAGATAGCAATGTACAGAAAGCAAAAAAAAACAAAACAAAAAACCCATATGTGAGGCACTTGTGTTTGTGTTACTCTCTGTATTCCTGTTTGTGGGACACACACACCCACCCACCCCTTATATGGTCTGGACTTTGAAAGGAAAACTTTGTGCTGCTAAAATGTAGATCTTGGAGACAGATGTTTGCTGTTTCACTTCCCTAGCCAAATGTCAACAGAAACAATCTCCCTTCCCCCAAAAGTGTGAAATCTTTCTCCCCTTCATCCTCCTCCTATTTCAAAAGGGAACTTCGAAGACTGTGAATGCAGGTTCCATTGTTCACCTAATGGCTTCTTTGCCCAGTGTTGAAGCCACTCATCAACTTTTCAAGAGACTGGAGCATTCCGAAATATGAAAACCAGTTTTCATTTTTTTAGCCGGGACTCTTATTTTTATGAATTTTTGTTTTTAGTTGAATGAGACTAGATCTTGAACTGTTGTACATATTTCTAACTAGGCTGATGCACAGTGCAAATTCCTTTTTAAATTGTTTTTTAAGTAGACAATACTAAAGAGAGTACCGTCTGATATTCATACCAGTATCCAGTTGTAGCATAAGGTGTCAAAAACAAGTACACAACGCGTTTGCTGTTTTAACAAACTGTTTTCTTTTAACAAAAGTTCTTGTATTTCTCCCTGTGTTTGAGATGAACATTTTTTAAATTCTAAAGTTGTACAGTTTTTTGTTTTTCATTATTTTATCTTGTTTGTAATTCTATGAAATATATATATATTTTTTGCCATTTAACTGTTGTATGTTACTCTGTCTGTATCATATAGAAATATTTTGTTTTGTTTTTGGTTCTCTCTGTGATACAAGTTAACAATTGAACACTACCTTTCTCTGTCAAATTCTGCTCGATATCTTTGGAAAACTTTTCTTTTGGTTTTGTTCTGTTTGGTCATAGTGCAATTTCTCTCTTTCTTCCCCTTTTCCTTCACACCCACTAAAAGGCATTTTCAGCGCCTTTCCTTGTATTTTTTCTAAATATGTCTAGATACTCGTTCAGCCTGAGATTGCCTCATCCTTTTGAAGTGCCCCGCAGCGTGGCCCAGGCGGTGCTGCTGTGCTCTCACACTAAGCGACATTGACGCGCGTCAGAAGGGTTAGGCTGCCAAAGTCCGAGTCCTGCTGCAGAATCTCCACAGAGGGGCGTGCCGTGGGCTCGTCCGTTGTAGAATGGCTTCCATTGCAGGTGAAACGGACGGTTCCAGCCAGTCGCAGAGGATCATTTTCCCTTCAGACCCGGCTCTGCCCCCACCGCCATGTCTCTTCACACTGTGGTCCGGGGAGCAGGTGCTGCTCAGGGGAAGCCCAGCTCTAGGCTGCCAGGCGCAGTGTTGGTCAGAGTTGAGAGGCCTCTGGGCTGTGCTGGGGGACGGGCAGGTGCCTGGCTGCTCACCCCAAGCCGCGCTGTCAGATCATGCCAGTAATTCAATATTAATCTATGCTGCTGCCCTTCAGTCCGGCCTTCCCTGGAGAGTTTGCACCTCTCGGCTCCTTGAGAGGCTCTGGGAAGGGGTCACTGTCAAAGCCGCCTTCAAAAATTCCCAATCGTATAAATGTGTCTGTTTCCAACCGAAACTCCCACGCCGTGGCCTGGTGCTGGACACGCAGCCAAAGGGGAGTTAGGAGACCCGAGTAGCTGGCACTACTCAGCATAGAAGAGACCCCTCGAGCTGGGGTCAAACCCCAGGCCGAGATTTTAAACACAGAGCAGAGCCGGTAACTTTATTTTTAAATGAAAAGCTTTTAAAGAGGCGAAGATGACCAAATGTCACACAGGAGACTAAAATACACAACAAGGTGTGTTCAGAGGGGCTACCTGCGCCCATACAGCAGCCATGGCAGGAAGGTGCAGACAACAGAGAGGCATTAATGCAAGCCAGCACACTTGATGTTTGTGAAAATATATTTTGCTTTTAAAAAAAATAAATTAACTAAATTAAAACATTTTAAATAGAAGCAGAGATTTGGTTGGTTTGTTGGCTGAGATACTGCCCACTGTGAAACACAAAGCTTTGACTTTTTTGTTTGTTTGTTTGTTTATTTGGGGGAGGGCAAGTTTTGGTAGAACAGAAAGCGTAAATGAGGTGAAGAGGTATATGAACAGCCTTTGCAATGTACAAAAAATAGAGCAAGTGAAACCAAAAATGATGTTCTTGGTGTTTTTCTATAATGTAGTCTTGTTAGCTTTTTTGTTACTGTAACAATGCTGATCTCGAACTGTACCAAAATACATGGAGACTAACAAACAGAAACCACATGGAACTTTCAAAACTTTAAAAAAATGTCACAAAACTTTGTTGTCATAGTTAAGCTGATTGTAGATGGTAATTGAATATACTCCTTTGACAATATTTCATCAAGTGTGTTTCCTGCTCATTGTGATACATTAAAAAAATGAGCAAAAGCTCTTGTCTCCGATGTGCCCAGGTGTATGAAGGTTTTGTGTGGGTGTGGGTGTGCGCGCGCGCACGCGCTAGCTGGTAGGACTGCGTGTGTGCACATTTGTGCATTCATCTGTGTGTATGAAATTAGATGTTCATGGAGATCCTTGTAGGCACATGCCCCTTGTGCACTCGTGTGTGTGTGTGTACATGCACAGTCACTTGTCCTCACCAGCACGTGGGTGTTTGTGTGCCCACGGGCACTGTTTGATTAGTATGGGAGTGCATGGGCTCGTGCTTTGAATCGGTTATTCTCAGCATGGAGTCCAGACGCTGAACTGGAAGTAATGAGCCACGCAGCACTGCCTCGTTACAGCTTTGGGATGTGCTGTGTATGGAAAGGGCATTTTATAATTGGAATTTTACCAAGGGCTGTATACGAAATCCAGGCACGTGACGGTAATTAACGCTGAGAAAGCTAGAACCCGATGCCTTACCAGATAAGGTCAGTTTCACATCTGTAACCTAGAAATGAGCCAGTCTGCAAGTGTCTTCCACGGATTAAACCAGAAGCAGCTGAAGGTAAGAACGGTAAGTGGCTGATTCACTGCGTTTCCTTTTGTAGCGAACCTCTCACTGCTCGAGAGCAGAGGCTGAAATGGGAACACAACTTGGTAAACAGCTGAGTGTAAACAAAAGGTGTCCCATGCAGCGGGAAAGCCTGGACATTTCTTTCATCGGGACCATGTCCACAGGACATCCCATTCACCTCTAATTTCTATCTACAGGAATCAGTCATCGTAACACCCCCGTGGCCAGTCGCCTCGGAAGGCCGGTTAGCGTGGTAGCGCCCTTGGGCAGTCGGCAGGTTCTCTGTAGTAAGAGGCGTACTGCCCTGCCTGGGAGTGGCAGTCAGTGAAGGGAGGCAGAACCCAAGAGTCTCACAGTTTGAGAGGAGACGGGGGTTGTTTAAAGACGAAGGTTAGAATATTGTCTAGCCAGGAAACTCAGGGCTGGGGGATGCTTTTTGTTTGGGACGGTTTGTTCCCGATTGAAGCTCCTCAGATATGTGGGATGATTTTTTCAAAGCGGTTATTTCCCAAGTTGTGTTCCCATTTCAGTCTCTGCTCTAGAGCTTCCCTCTGCAACGTGTCCAGCTCTCTGAATATGGCTCTAGAGCTTCCCTCTGCAACGTGTCCTGGCTCTGCAATTCCCCCCAGGCCCTCCGGGACGGGCGCCTGGTGTCGGAGTAGCAGAAGAGAGCCCAGCTCCATTGGGCCCAGTGTCCAGGCGCTAGCTGCAGCTTTAAGAAAGATGAAACCTCCGTGTGTGCAGCCAGGAGGGTGCATGGGGGCAAAGGCCTTTGTAGCTTTGGGTATGGAAAGAAACTGATTTTTTCAGCCGTGCAGGTGATCATGTGACCATGTGAACCAAGTTGGTTCCCTGAAACCCCTTCCCGCTGCCTGCGCGCGTGTAAGTAGCGTTCCCTGAGGCCGGGTCCGTCCAGCCGTGCTGCAGGCTCAGGGAACGCCTGCCGAACACTTCTCTGGAAACTGATTGGGGGGTTCTTTACTGAGTTTGCTGCTTTCCTAATGGCCTGGCAGCTGCTTCTTCAAGCATGAAGCAGCGAGTCGGTCATCACTAAACCAGTCAGGCACTGAAATAAGAGGCCTCATTTTCCAAAGTACTGCTCCCCACTGGCTCCCAGAGAGCTCCGTGGGAGAGAAACCATCTCCTGCTTTAGTCTTAATTTTGGAGTTAGGTGCATAACTCTCGGCATCTGCATTCGAAAGCCTGGGCCACTGAACTATCAAATACAGGCATCCAACGCGTCGGCCAAGTGAAAACACTGTCGCAAGCTGCTGTCTTACATCGGCTGTGAGAACACTTCACGGCGTCATTTGCAACTTTGCTAGCCTCTATTTTCAGATGGGGGGAACTTCCAGTTAGAAAGCCCCTGCCAAGCTGGGCTCCTCCCATGCTACAGGTCCAGTGAGTGATGGAGACGAAGGCCCTAGCACGAGAGCAAACGGCCTCTGTGGGGCCATGCTTGAGAGAGTGCGAGGCAGCTTCCAGCTGCGTCCCAGTGCCAGGGACCAGGCTGCCAAAGGTGCTGCTGGGTCTCGGCTCTGCGGAGCTATGGGCAGCTGCCTGCGTGTTGGGAAGTCTGGCCCAGGAGCACGGCACCCTGGGCAGGTTCTGAAGCCTCTTTGGACAAGAGCCGGGGCTCCAGCCGGCTTCTGCCCCTGAGGTGAGCTGCCCCTGCACTGGAGCTTAGGCAGGGCCTTTCTCTTCGAACACGCTGGCAGCTCCTATGCCGCGTGAAGCCCGTCGCGGTGCCTGCCTGCTTTCAGGGATTGCTGCCTTCCTTGTTAACAGCTCTGCCCCGGGCCTCCCCTGGCCCTAGCCCAGCCTCATGTCCTAGGACACCGCCCCCAGCCTCCGCACCTGGCTCCCTCCAGGACCAGCGGCACGAGGACAGTTTGAATTCCTGCGCGGCAAGAGGGGACATGCTGGAGCTCCTGACTCCAGGGACTGCGCGGCACCCAACTTGCATGGAAGCTCCCAGAAGCTGGGCTGATGATCCCTGATCAGGTGCCCGACATGGGCCCTGGCTTCACTCCAGACTGCAGCTCGGAAAGGAGAGGGAATCGGTGTCGGCTCCCGCTGCTCCCAACAGCCTGTTCCTGGGCCTCAGCGAGTCCGGCTCAGCCAGCCCCTCCGTGCTGCAGGGCAGAGCCAGGTGGGGCTACTGCCCAGAGGCGTCTTTTGCCATGTAGCCAACAAGCCCTCAGCCATGAGAACTGGCCGGGAGGTGGCGTGTGGAACGTTTCTGCCCTCCTCTTGCTCACAGCCTGTGGCCTGGACAGAGGCAGCAGAGGAAACACCAGCTCAAGCCCTCCCAGGACGTGGCCCTCCCTACGCATTACTCAGCGCGGGGAATGAGCCTTTGTCTTCATTGCCCACCGTGCTGGTAAGTGAACGCGTTGCCCATCCCTGGATGCTGCCTGGGCAGTAAATGTGCTTGGATGCAGCTGGGAGCCAGCCGGTTTTGGAGCTGAGGAAAGCCTTGTGGGCCAGGCGAGAGGGTTCACCTCGTGCTGTGCACACGGTGCTCCCAGCTCTGACACAGTGGTCCTGCCCAGGCGGTGCTGCTCACGCTGGCCCGTCACACAGACTCAGAACCTGCGCTCAGCTGCGCTTGGCCCTTTGCTCAGTCTTACTGGCGCTACCGCCGTTGGAAATGGCTCGCTGGCTCGTTTCCTACATGCTGGGCTCGGGCTTTGCACTCAGTTGCCTGGTTTTAGCACCAAGGGGCTTAGGGGAAAGGCCTTGGTTGGAGCCCCACGGGGGCCCAGCCACTCAGAGGAGATGCACCATGCCACGTCTGGCTGGGCCCTCCCGCAGTGTTTGTCAGCTCAGTCCCTGCCGTGCCCAGACTGGTCCCCTGGCCTGATGGCGATTGGAGAACGTCAGAGGAGAGCAGGGAAATAAATAGTGATGCAGTGCTGCTGCCTTTGGCCTCGCCTGCTGGAATGGGCCTCTGACTGCACATCGTCACGCTCATGGCCACCCATGGGGCTGCTTGCGAGCTAGGAGTGCGTGTATACACGCCCAGGCGAGAAGCGTTTGCGCGGCAGAACTAACTCAGGTAAAATAACAGAACTTGCGCATAGTTCCATCCCCTACAGTCTGCCGGAGAACCTGGCTCTAAAACAACAGACCCACCTCTCAGCCCCCTTGCCTCACTGCAAGCGCGGCCCAAACCAGGTGCTATTGCGAGCTGCAGCCCACAGCTGATGTCCATGCTGGCCGCTACTGGTTGGCTCACATACAAACTAACCTTTTTTCAGAGGCAAGGCAGGAAGTGAGTGAGTTGGCAGGAAACCTGCATTCTCGTGGCCTTCCAAAGACTGTCCCACTCACCGTGTCCCACAGAAGGGCTCGGTTTGGATTAATCAGCATTTTTCGGAAGGCCAGATGTTCCACTAGGAAATCTCCATCCTGCTCCATCTCTCCTCAGCATAACTGGGCGTCTAGCACCCATAGAGTTTTAGAGTGGCTATTGTCGCGCCATGCAGAGCACAGTGGCTTGTGCGCTTATGCCCGGCAATCCCAGGTGCCGTCCCAAGGGCGGCTGCCTGCATGTGCTGCTGGCTCACCCGGGCTGGTCTACACAGACAGGTCTGCGTTGGGGCTCGGCAGACTGGAAGGGGAAATGCCGGCAATGACTTGAGAGAGGAGTGAAAAAACGACACACTGTGTCCCTGGCACTAGCCAGCAGTGCCCCTCTGCCACGTGCACCAGCCAGACTGGACAGTCTCCACCAAAGGGAACGAACACAAATCAGACATTCGAAAAGGCAACACATGGAATCCTGTCGGGGAACATTGTAACCTGCCCGGCACTTGCTAATGGATCTCCACGTTGCCGTATTGTTTCAGGCCAATTTCAAAAACCAGCTTGAAAGGGAGGCTGCAGAACTTCCTTTCCTTTACCGATGTGATACCCGCAACAGGCGTTTTAACAGAGACCTTGGCTGGACGAGCCTCCACGTTCCACATCCAATGACATAAAAGGCCAAGCACCTGGTACGTAAGAGCACTTAACGCTCTCCATCAGCGTCATTTAGCAGGGACACACTGACTGACTGTTCTTTTCCCTCCCCACCGCCTCTCTTTCTCTGGCATTTATTTGAAACCTGGAGAAGTGGGCTGTGCCCACGAAAGCTCGTGATCCCATCGACATGCTTTGTTAGTCTCTGAGATGCTGCAGGACCATTGGTTGGTTTTTAAGGTTTTGCAGCTCAGTAGTTGAGGCTGGGTTGCATTTTGTCCTGGCAAAGGGGGACTCAGCCACTGTGTTACTTGAGCAGAATACCGAGTTACCCTCCCTCAAACTTACAGCATTTGCTTGGAGCACAGAATTATTTGCCTGAGAATTTGGGTAAATTGGCCAATTCATTTGCGTTC